CACTTCGACGCGTCGTTTACCAATCCTCGCCCACAGCCAGCCCAGAAGACTGGCAGGGAGCGATGACGGTGGAGATCGACAAAGGCAATGACCCACTCATAAACCCTTCGGTTCCAGATGCGTCTGACTGCTCAGCACAGCATACAAACGTCTTGCCAAACCCTACACAGTCGATTGTAACAGGCAGTCGACCACAGCTTCCAGGCCCACCTCACAATAGATCCACATTATCAGTCGCCATATCGAAAGAGCCAGAGCTACACAACAATGCCTTTACACGATCCTGTTGGGTTACTTCACTCTTCGGCATGTCGGCCCATTTCACAGCCTTCATCAAAGGTTTACACATCCCCCCCGAATTACTGACAGGCATGCGTCGAGTCGGAAAGATTGCCTCCTCTCGCAGTGCCGTTTCCTCTGGGTCCACACCGTGATCCCGCAAGACATGGATCAGGAGCTCACGGCCAACACGGAAGCCCAACCTCACCCACCTCAGAGAGCAGAGTGACCTTTCAAGACCACACACCAGTCCCCACGTGTCCCCACCGCCAAGGCACGCAAAATATCTGAGGGTTACCCGAACAGCGATGCCCCTACACACAGAGACATCACCACTCGACTCTCCAAAGCACGGCGACGTTTCCACGCACTGCACCAGTCCTGGCACAACACGGACAATGCGGTCTTCAATTCACTGGCCATATACGGTCTGGAATCCGCAGTTTACAACAGGCGACTTCAGCAGGCTTGAGCCCTTCCACTCACAGTGCCCCCGCAAAATGCTCCACATCAGAAGCACGTACCAAACAAAACATTCGATTTCACCAGGACGGTCGCTTCCCCGAGCATCCACCCATCATACGCCACATCCAGAAAGCAGAGCTTAAACTTTTCGGGCACTTTCTGAGATCTTATCCGAACGCCATCGAACGGAAATGTTGTTCTTCCTAGCTTTCAGTACAGGGGAGGTGCGGCAGGCCTAAGAGGGAGGAGGAGACTGTGGGTGACCGTGGCAGGTTATCGGATCGTGGCAGGTTATCCGATCGAAAAGCAAACTGTGGGCACCGAATTCCTGCTCCTTGCCCTTTGCCAATGCACGGCAGTCCGTGAGTCCACACGTCTGGAAACCTGACAGACATGCCGTCAAGCTGCTGTTCCAGCACTGGGAGCAGGGCGCCTGAGTCCGCACGACAAAGGAAATGTAGCACGGGGTGCTCTCAATGTAATGCCATGCATACAACTAATTTGAATCAAGCCACCCAAACCCCGATGCCAATGAACAGCAGAGGCAGGCTGTCTAGCAGCACTCCAATGATCAACAAGCCTAGTCCTTGTGGCCATGACAGGTTCCCACAGGAAGCATGTCTGCAAAAGAAACACATGCTTGGCCAAGCAGCCGAGAGTCCAAAATGGCAAGTCCAACTTTAGCAGCCGAATTCTTGACATCTTGTCAGACCTCAGCCAAGACTCGGCTTCTCCAAGCAACAGTAAAGGCAGATGGCATATGTCATAAGTGTGATATGCCGTGTGGCGAGGTCCTGGACCGCAAAGGATCGAAAAAATCTGAAACTCAGAGTCGTTCAGATGAGTCACACGGCCCCGATGGGATATGCAAGCACGAGCTGCAGAATCCCACGCCTTGGAAGTTCAAGCTCAGAAGCGTGATGCCTCCCAGCACCAATGCATGCAATGCACGTGGACTCCACGGCACCGACCAGCTTGTTGCCATTCCTCATAGTAACGAGAAAAGGCCAACAAATCGAGAGCAAAAAGAGCAGCATCTCTATCTCCCAGCCACTGATTGCAAGATAGGCACACTCCTCCGATGTTCAGCAAGTAAGCATCAAACAGTGGGCCAAGCGTCACTGCTGACCTGCTCACAGAACAACACACATGTAGAGGCCGTGCTTACAAACAGAAAATCACTGAAATAACTTGTCGACCATTGCATTCACGTAGCAGTGCGACACCGAAGAAGAGCGAGACAAAGATACACCGGATGTTTTTGTGATAGTCCTTCCATCTTTGAGAGCATGTTGGCGAAGCCGCAGATCAGATACACGTCTCGCTGTGCCTACGGCACACCACGGGGCAGCAAAGCACCTGTCCTTTGGACCAGGTCCTTCCGAGCCTGCAAGCTCCTGCTGCATCTCCATGGTCTCCATCGCTGCGTCTGGTGGAATCCCATCAATCTTGTCGTGCGCGCGGTGCCGCTTCTCTCGCACAGCGGTTAATTACTTCTCACACATCAAACAAGACCTTGTGCTCACTGTGTGCATTGAGACAGGAAAATCTCCCGCAAAAAAAACACGGCTCACGAGGCAAAGTAGCTGCTCACACAGTTGAAGCAGAGTAGGGCTGCTGAACCTGTTCTTGGAAAAAATCTTGAACCGCATCCAATCAATAGATGTCAGCAGGGCACTGCACAGCGCGAATGCACGAAAGCAGCTTAGCAATACACACTCTTTTCGTCGTCGCCCACTATTGCCTGTTCGACCTGTTCGATCTGATTCAGTTCAACATATTAAGCGAAGACATGCACAAGCAGACAGGACCGCTTCGTGTCCGGCTGAACTCGCATCAAGTATTGAGGATGAGGAAGACCTCGTCAAGCAACTGCTCTGCGTCACATCCGCAGCAGACAATATTTCTTTTTGTTGTTTGCAAGCCTAGAACTTCTTCCGTGAATCTCTGCCTGACAACTCGGGAGCCGTGATCATCGCAAAGATTCGCAAAGGAAACAAAGCTAACCGATACTTCGGCTTTATAGCGGCGCACAATGTGAAGTTGCCCAAAGTTGGCAGAGAACGGGCCGTTTGGGAAGAGTGGTCCACAGAGGACTGAAACCGAATGTTACTGCAGAGGCAACTTGCGAAGTTTCAGCATCTTTCAGCCACACGAGATGGTCTGATGACTAGTCACTTAGCGTGGTGCACTAGACTGGCTGCCTATAGACATGGAATGCACGAGGTCCATGACTCAGAACGGAACCACAACCGCCGTCGAGGCTGTAGTACCGGTAAGATTGCAGCTAAGTGTCAAGGATGACAAACAGAACGATGGCGCCGCCCACTGCATAAATCTGAGCCCTGGCACACCGCTCTCGCATCGATTTGCTTGCCCTGAAATCTGCATGAAAGAATGAAAGGGTTGATTCTATCTAATGGCACGTTTGCATACGAAACTTTGGCAGACTGAGTTTTGACGACCAGCTTGCATCCTGTCGATCGTGGGATGGGGTATGTCCCGTACCCTTTCCAAACCTGAGACCCCACACCTCGAAAACAAAAGCAGGATTATGTAGGGGGACGTGTCCGATCAACCGTGGTCGGTGTGGCTTGTTGCTCGTCTTCAACAGAGCTCCCATTCCCTTCGTCACGACGTCCATTCGCTCCATCTGAGCACGGGTCCAGTAATCGGAATCATGCCAAGCCCAACAGACGCAGATGCTGCCTCCTTCTCTATATCCTGGTTCAACCTGAGCTGCAGATTCTGTGAACTCCAGCCATTCATGTACTCGGTGACGGCATCCCCGTTTGGACACGGTTTTTGCCACCCGACCAAAATGCATACCTTGCACGGACGAACTTTTCGCAGGTGTCGAAAACACCAGGTCGTGCAACCTTTGCGTTTTCGATCGGAGCCTGTTCGGATCTTTTGCGTCTGTTTTTGTTCTGGGGGTCTTGGAAGTTGAGAGTTCCAAGAGCATTTCCGCTAACAAGTCGTGCTCTGGCCACGGCGAGGATGCGCTTTGTACTATGTGCAAGGTATGTTTCCGGAGGCCATTTTTACAGAGGAGGGTCTTGAAGAGTGAAGGATTCAACAAAATATTGCTGAAAGTCTGTGTTCTGGGATTCCTTATTTTTGATGAATGAGTTATTGCACCGTCGGCCCGCATCCAGCGCTGTCTCCACTAGCCAGCTCTGAAGAAACCGTTCGAGTGTGCACGGCGGTGGCGCGGTCCGCCGAGCGAAAGAAATGAAGGAATTGAATGTGGGCTTGATCGACGTCTAGATACTCGCCTTGCCTCTGTTTCTCGCGGGTCGACGTGCTAAGCCGCGTCGTCGACTCAGATGCCGGTGCAGGCTAAGTCCCGCATCGACATATTGAGGAAGAATGAGGAAGAGAGTGAAGAGAGTGCCTCCCCCACCGGTGCCGCCAGCGTCGCCAAGAATCCAAGAGGAAGGCTGTGCACATAGCGTTGGCCGGTGTTCAAGGGCGGACCGCTTTTGTGGAGACAGATGGGTTACACAACAAACAAGCGAGTCGAACTTGTGAAATTAGGCGGCTATGCAAGCTCACATGGACACTCGCAGGAAATCGCAGAGCAGCAGACAGGCACATGCCAGCTCCCTGCAAGCTCGAGCTCTGGCGTGTCTCGGCGTGTGAACTGAATTCCGAATCGACTGAAGTCCTTCCCCTATCTCACATGAACCGACTCAGAGCCTCAGGGCCAGACTCGTCTAGCAGTTTTTGCTGACCTGATAGCTATCGTCACTAGGTGACTAACTAGCGGATGAAACATCCTCACACATGCCATGGTCTTAGTCAACAGTAATTCGGCAGTGGGGGGTATCTGTTGAAACTTTGGCTCCTTCAGGTGGGTTGACTCGTTTCGTAAAGACCGAGCCATTGGCTTTCGATCTCGCCGTTGATCGTGTAGGCGACCTGTGAAGTCGACATCGAGAGACAGGGAAGCATCGTGCGGCGTCGCTTCGTAAAACCAAAGCTCGATCAGCCTACGCCCTGCGCTCCACTTGGACTTCATGACGTGTTGTTTTCGGACCCAGCCTGTCCGAGTCTTTGAGCACCCTTCTCAAGTGCCTGCAGCTCGTCCTGGCCGTTACACAAAGAGCCCCCTGACCAGGGAGTGCGGCTTCACGACATGATTCTTTTCCGCTGGTGTTGTGGACTAAGCCCAGCTTCACGAGCTTCCATGCTAACACGCGCAACATCATGCATGCGGCGTGCCGGAAACTAACTACTTGGCGAACTCGCTCTCAGCCGCGGCTGCGACTTCGCTCTCTTTCCACACCACTTGATGTGGTGCTGACACCTTGCATTGAAAGAGATGAACAAGGCCAGGCAAGGGGTGGAAAGGTGTCTGGTCGGCGCTTCAGACCAAGCTTAAAAAAATATTGCAGCAAAGGATCCGTTTGCCTGCGGCTGTTGAGGACTGGTAAGCCCTGGTGCATCGGAAGCAAGCGGTCCGCCTGCGGAAGCAGGCACCCCGGCTCCAGCCGGCGGCGCCCCTAAGCCCGCGCCGCCCAAAGGCGCTCTGGGGGGAGGCAAAGGCGGACTGCCGGGCTGCATTGACATGGCCGGCCCGACCATTCCGGCTGGCGCGTTTCCTTGCAGCATGCCCATGGTGCCTGGCATTGGTGCGTTGCCTTGCATGGGCGCCTGCCCGCAGCCTAACGCATTGGGACCAGACATGCCCTGCATTGACGAACAGCCAGGCGAGCAGCCTTGCATTGCGGTGCAAGGGCCTGACATCATCATCCCCGGCATCATCCCGGGCATCATGCCCGGCATCATGCCTGGCATCATGCCTGGCATCATCGGCATCATCATCATTGGCATGCCCATACCTTACTTGCGGGAGGCTCCCAATTTTCAACTGCACGAAAACCTCCCAAGAGACCATACTGCGCCAAGGCACATCCTCCCATCGGCATACTTCCCATCATGCCTCGGTGGTGCTCGTGCATGGACAGAGAACATGCAAAATATGTACAAACTTGTATTTTCCTATGTTATGTACATGTAGATGTGTTTATATATGTATATACACTCACATGCATGCATACACACATGCAGACATAGAAACCTATCAGCCGTGCTGACATGCATGCATGCATACATACGTACGACATGGAAAGGCAAACCACGCCAACAAAAACTGAACTCACGAACCTAGCAAGAAGACGCAGACGGCATGCTGGCTACGTAGCCGGGGCCGGAAGAGGCGGCACAAGTCAAGGATCACCGGTTGCCAACCAACAGGGGTGAGGGATCAAAAAAAAATAAATCAGGATCAAAAAAAATTAAACCAC